AGATTGGAATCCACCAACTTATGATCACACAATGATCAAGAGATTCCAAACTTGAATGCGGAAGATGACCGTTGGTAGAGATGGAGGTGAGGGTCGCTTGATTGATTCCACAACCAAACACACGAAATCAGAGAGTTTGATTCCACAAACTAACTAAATCCGCACAATCAAAGAGACTAGGAATCCACCTAAGGCTCAAATGATCAAGAACAACATAACTTTGTAAAGAAAACACAATGTTTATTGATTCAGTGTTTAAAGGTGATTTACAATGAACAGAGCTTATATAGGCTCGAAATACAACTCCTCTAAAGATTAAAACAAGAAAGAAAATTTCAGAATTGAATAAAAACTAGCCGTTAAACGATTGAATGAAAATTGATAAAAAAATCTGTTCAAATAAGGAAAGTATCCGTTAGCTTGTATCTTGAAAGTTTGGGTTGGAAGTGGTTCAACTTTGGGACGTCTAGATGCATTGAGTATGACTTTAAAATGCAGCAACAGTGAAGCAATGAGATTCGTTGGACTTTAAAGACAAACAGTTCCAAACAAGGCAAGCTCGGCTTCGGATATGGAAAGTGAAGTTGTGGAAGGATTCGCCTAATCCTCTAAGTGCTGGAGCATTTTAGGGCTTTGGGGAAGCTTCTAGATCAGAATAAATATCTCCTGGTCGCCACAAATACGTTTGATCTTGACCAAACTCGTGAGACTCCAAATAAGGCAAGCCGAGAAGCCATTGATTTAGAAATTGAATAACTTTCAAACCAAAACCGGTATTGGTATTATTCTAATTCTCCCAAAATCTCTGATGAATCCAGATTCCATAACAAGTCAGTTCACAGCTTAGTTCCTCCTGGTTAGGTCGGAAATCTCCAATTAAGCCGCATATATCCAAATCGGGTAAGTGCAGAAATACTCGATTTGTAAACGGAATATCTCCTTCGTCATAAATCCAATTGGGTTGATTCAAAGTGTTGGCGAGCTGTAGGTGAGCTGAGAAGTTTTTCCAAGTGGTTTCATGCTCTGAATATTCGTGGTTAATTTTATATGCTCCAAGAAAGGTATATGTGTCCTTGTAGAGTCCTATGCAGTTTGTGTTGGATGTTTGATGGAGTTCCAGTTCAGCTACTGGTACGATGACCTCATCAATACGTTTCCAAAACGTTTCCGTTTCTTATTTTTTCTTAAAAACTTG